TTACGATCTTTATTCTATTCTGTATGACGTGTCCCTTCAGGTCATCGGCAATCATGTCTCTCCTCTACTTCCTATCCTTCCTACAACTAAGTAATGTTTGTCTCTTTACTATCCTTTCCAGTCCCTGTTCTCCTATCCTACACAATTTCTTTAGGTAACTGATCATGGCTCTCCACAACTTCCTATCCTTCGTAGCAATAAGTAATGTTTCTCTGTTTTTTATTCTTCTCAGTCACTTTTCTGCCATCTATTTACACATTAAATAGGTGATTCGCTGTTTCCCTCTGTCCCTCTTGTATGCAATATGTCCTGTGAGTGTCAAATTCTCCAATCCCTCTTTTCTCATTATGTGTTCTAGAAATTCCACCTTTATCTTAATACAGGTGTGCTTTTTGTTTAGTGATAATAATAGGTGTCGTATCATGGCTACAAAAAAACACTTTTCCGATAATTATAATTAAGTTTTCACATGCTGTCAAAAATGAAGGCATATTATTTTATGTCCTTACTAATTGTTGAAGCTTGAATAAGCATGGAATAATAATAATACAACACAAAATGTACGTAACAAAATGTATTGAAACAATGAAAAAGGTACACAATATTTACAGGTAGTTTTGGTATATTCTTGGGAAGACTGTGTTCCTGCAGAATGGGTTGACTAAGTCGCAGTCGGGCAGAGTCTCTGGATTCGATCTCTTAATCTTCCGTCGTCTTCCGGTACCAACCCATATTTATATGGTCGGTACTCCACTTATGTAAATTAGGTGTATCATACACAACACTAATATTTAAAGTTTTCCTATATGTGCATTTACATATATTTTTTCCAATGTTCTGTCATTTTACCGCGATCGAATTTTTATCTCCCGTCTTCGTAAACGTCTATTGGCCATTGTCATAACAGAGACACTGTTATCTGGAATCACCAGTGCAAGGGAGATAAATCTATTACAGCAAAGCGTTACATTATAAATAAAATCATAGATACACGTATATATAAGTAAGAACAACGATAATAAAAGTAAATAGTGGTGGTGATTATTATTATTATTGAGTGAGAGGGGGCAGCATGCGAACAAAGTGATACTGGGATAGAAATACCCGAAATCCAATGCACCCGTGAGATTTAGTCTGATCAGGGTATACTAGTCATATCCTTCACTGCCAAATGTTGAAAGATTTTTAGAAAAGCAACGCGTTAACTTCCAGATAGGACCCAGTTAAAAGTACCTTTAGTTTGGGTAACCCAGTCTGCTTTGACAGTCTTCAATTGAGGGAATTCCCATGTGTCTAGACGTAACTCTGATGTCACATCGGCTGACTCATTCTTCATACTTAAAAAAAGAACAACCCTCTCGATATCCATAATACTCCCCCCTCCCCGCTCATGAACAGAAATGCATACATGCCCATCTGCTTAGGGTCAGGCCACTAACAAGTAAATCTGTGGTATTGAACAAAATATTTACTCTGTCTATATTTCTGAGATGAGGTAATGTAAATATTTATACTATTTTCATTGTTTGGACTGTTGTCCTCATCTTTATTGTCATATTCACGACGTTTCGGCTGTTGTACATCCCGGCCTTCTTCAGGTGATATAGGGTGGCATTTCGAACCTAGCCCCAAGGACACAGTGGATAAAAGCGTTGGTTGAAGTAATCCAGTGACTTGACCCAAAGAATTGTGAGTTCAATACTTGGCCACAGCAGAGCTGAAGACTCAACTTGGAGAGTTGAGTTACTAAAGGGCAATAACTGAAAACTGAGATATCTAGAAAAGGCATGGTACGTGGAATTAGAACAATCTACCCCGGTGGACGAAATAATGGGTTCGATTCGAAGGAGAGGCATCTGACGTTTATGGGACATGTAATGAGAGAGGAAGGCCTGGAGAATCTGATACTCACAGGTCGAATAGACAGAAAGAGAGACAAGGGAAAGCAGCGTGTGACATACGTGGAGGGCTTGAGCAAGTGGATGACAGAGCGTGGTCTGCGGGGAGGTGGCAGAGGGGCAAAACTTATTGAGCGCTGCAACGGATAGGGGGAAGTGGGGGCCATGATCGCCTACGTCCTGAAGGGGTACGGCACATAGAAAGAAGAGGGTCCTAGTTCAAATTCCAGCCTAGGCAGTTACGTTAATTTTCTCACTAATGTTGTTGGGAAAAGGCATGAATCCATCCCTGCTTAAATGGCAGAGCAGTGTAGACTCTCTAAGCCTGGGTGGGAGCCAATCTAGGATAAGGAGTACCCTGAATTGAAAACCGTGGAGAAGGCAATGGAAACCACTCCGCAATATTTCCAAAGAATTCATGGTAATTCACAGATAAAGAAAAGAAATCTGTGGAGAGCCATGACCGTCTACGCCTGAAAACATTGAATTATAATAAGAATAAATAACACAGCAATAAACGATCTACAATCAAAACACAAATTGATGAAAACTCAACACGATATAACAATGCACTATGTTTTACTCTTGCTGATGAAAAGGTACCGTAATTCCTCTTGCATAATACGCCTTCAGCCATAATACTCACTACTAAAATTGTGCTGAAAGTGTGGCAAAATGCTTCTACCCACGAATAATACGAACCCCTTGTTTGGTAATCAAACCCTATAAATTGTACCTCTCCAATTTCATTACGGCCAGCGTTTCCTACTCTTATCTAAAAAAAATGATTTTAAACATAGAATATTATTATTCTAATTTAGTTTTATGATAATTCTTATTGTATTTTTGATGTAATGAAATACACCCCCCCATGAATGATTGCACTATAGGTAGTAAGTACCTATAAAGTGAACTTTTTACGATAGATTGCAGTGAGATAGAAGAGTGAAGACGCAAGCATGTCTGACCTTCCAATTAGTAGCACTCACTACTAGAGTGACCTATGTGTATAACTGTACCGTATTTCATATTGTACTTGTTGTGTACAATAAACCTTTCTTCTAATATCCACCTGGTGTTACTTATTTATTCCCTTAGCATGGAATATAACAGTTTCGACGAGGATTGTCGGAACATAACAACTTTACATTTGTAAGTATTGTTAGGTAGAAACGATTGTATTTGACATCCTTCTGGGGTAGCAATCGCTGAATGTAAATGTCAAATTGTCGTATGTTTGTGGTGAGTAGTTATTTTCGCAACTGAAATCGACCCATGAAACAAGTTTTTAAAAGAGATTTTTGTAGTTGTGCATAATACGCATCCCTGATTTTGCTTAATATATTTTAGAAAAGATGCGTATTATACATGGGGAATTACGATATTTGATTCAGTAGAACATTGGGCAGTCTTTTCTTCATTACTAAAGTAGAGTATTAACACAGATTACATAAACGTTATTGCAAAAATATACGGTAACTACTTTAATATTTTGTCTAGACAAAAGAAACAAAATAAAAATTGGAAAAGGAGTGAGACAAGGGGATACGATTTTTCGTATTCACATCCTGCCTTGAAAGTGTCATTTATAAAATGAATTGGGAAGGAATGGGACTAAACATAAATGGAGAATATTAAAACCGTAATTTATTAATATTTGAATCATTATTTTTAGTCTCGGGCGAACTGAAATGTATTCAGTTTTGCTGTTTTTTGCTGGTGTATGCATATGCTGTTTTTATAAACATAATTATCCCTTCGCAAGTACAGGACTGTTTTTAATGGGGTTTTTTTTTTACCCAAAGGAAAACAGCGACTAAACTACCCAACGAACAGAGGTTAGGAACGATAGCAAAAAACAAAAACAAACAAAAAACAAGACTTACTAAAAGCTACAAAGGACAGGAAATTTGGGAGAGCCATGATGGCCCACACATTGAAGTGATACACAGCCTATCGAAGAAGATGAATAGAGATTCTGGCGCGGCAAAATTTTGTTCATTTGAGAATTACTAAGGGTGTAATTTAAAGGGTAGGAAACACTGTATTCGAAGTATTCAAAAAACTTAACTCTGTTGCCTGTACACGGGTACACACACACACAATAGAGAATTATTATTTGATGAATAAACAAGTTTGATTAATTTTCTCAATATTTTTATAGTTCTAGTTTTAAGTAAAGGGTCAACTAAAGTCTAGCATGGTCATCGGAATGAGAACGATAGATGGAAGAAAGTATCTTGTTCAAAATTCCTAGAAGTTTACCAACTATGACAGGCACATGGAAAATGGTAGCGGATGTAATGGTAAGAACCTTTGACCTAACACTAACTTCCCAGTGGGAAAGAACTAGCTGGTTACATTCAATGTCTTCAAAACAGAACTGTTTACATACCATTACCACCGACCAAACCCCGAACCAGTTACGATGAGGCACTATGCCTTGAGGGAATATTGGTCCTCAAACTCACACTCGACCTCAAGTGGTTCACTTATATACGATCCATTGCTAAATATGCAGGTAAAATGATTGACTCCCTGTACTGATCCAGTAAGTACCTGACTCTTGATAATATTCTCTACCTTTACAAGAGCCAGATCAGGCCGAAGATGGAGTACTGTTCTATATTTGGGCGGAAGCTGCCAAGTCCTAATTAGATCGAGTACAAAAGCGTCTCCGAGTCCTTGTTGGAAAAGAATTATTTTCCACCCTCTAACCTCTCTTGGGATGTGGCGAGCCTTTCAATATTCTATCGCTACTTCCATGGAAAGTACTCACACGACATAATAGCAAAGCACCCACACTCTCTCCATATATCATCGGTGAGAAGTGGGTTCCACTCAGACAGCTTCTTCGTGCGAACCACTGCCCTGTAGAACAGACTCCCAAGAGGATGTTTCCCCGATCACTACTATCTTAACCTGTTCAAGTCTATCTATATAAACTACCCCTTAACTCTACCTCGAGTGGCCTCCGGGCATTGTACAAGGTGAACCTTACTACCCCCACCAAATACTTATGATTAAAACAACCAATATGAGAAAACTTGTTAAAAGAGATCGGATATAATATTTTGCTTGTTTTTGATGTCAGTTACAGACTTACGGCCACACCACGTTGAAACACTGCTTTTTATACGATCACCGAAGTTAAGCAACGTCGAGCCTCCTTAGTACCCAGATTGGTAACCGTTTAGGAATACTTGGATGTGCCGGTACCAAGTGCTGTAAACTTGAACGGAGATAATGGCTCGTAATCTTTAATCGGAGAGACGAGTTCCAATTCCTGTTGGATTCGTTACATTTACTTGGGAAATTTATGAATCCATCCCTTCTCCCCCAGCTATGGGTTAATTAGTAAAACTTGTATTACTAAATCATTATTATCTCAAAAAAGATTCTTACAATCTACAAATATTTTCTGGCTTTAAATAACTTGCAAGGATAGATAAGCAAGCTTAGAAAACGTATCTACAAAACTGTTGTCATGTGCAAGACCTCACAGAGGATGATGCGACTGAACATCCTAAATGAATCAAAGTTGCGTTTTATTGTCTGAGATTAATTATATAATTTCTTTAAAATATTTTCTCTTATATTTAATATGCATGACGTCAGTTGAAGCGGAAAAGCCGAAAAAAATCTGATTTTCACAATGTAAATACCCTTGGAAAGATTTAAACTCCAGCAGTTCTCTTCACACAGATACAGGCACATCTACCAACGAACTTAGTTTCAGTTACCTTGACATTGCTGCTGTTTTGTTAATCAAAATTCATAATATAAAAGAACATCGCTTTTACAGCAATAAAACAATTATCCTTGATATTGTCTTTCTCTTCACCGAATAACAAAAACAATAATAAAATTAATTGAATCAGGAATAAGTTTTATTTCAATGAACTGATAATATATATAAATAACAGAATATATTGTTTGCCTGTGAGGGAATGCTGTAAATTAGCTCAAAAGGACGCTCAAAATAGATGTGACTAGGTAGGAATACTGAGCGAGTGGGATTTATGCAAACAAATGAGTTTGGGTCGTATAGATCCATGGAGTAAGCACGAAAAAGAATCTGAGTAGAAAAGTTGTTGCAATTTAAAGATTCAGATGGATCACCAATCCAAAAGGAGGAGTCAAAATCTTGTCATCGTCACACAAAGAAAAGACGGTTCCAGAGGAAATCGAACAGGAAAGGCGAAAAACAAAAAAATTCTTGACCTTTCCAAGATGAGATGAGAAATTATCATTATTATACACTGATTTATTTGAACTGTTCTACTCATCTTAGTTATATTCACAAAGTTTCGACTATAGTATCATCATTCTTCAGATGTCCATTGTATTCAGTAACAGTATGAAAAATGTCAAACCGCATTCTTTATTCAATCCACTGGGGTAAACTGATCACAAGACTGTGTTTAAGTGTGGGGACATGTTGTTTTGTAAATTCGTCCTTGTGATGGCAATTATTCTTTTCCCGCTCGATTCTACTGCTTGACCAAGATATTGAACTCACATCTAGACGAGGACAACATTTCGAATAAATCATATTAATAATTAATATCTTAACTTTGTTAACAAGTACAAAAAACTGTGGATGTTGAAGATGAAATTTATACCCATCATTATTGGCGCATTTTGTACAGTTTGAAATAGTTGAAACTAACCAGAGGGGAGGTATTCCCAAAATCAACTTGAGTACAAAAGAGAACAGTGGAGACTTGAAAAAACTTCTTATCACTTGAACTTCAGTAAAAATCTCTACATACTAATGGTAGAAAAAGTCGACGAATAAAAATGATGATAATAAAGAAAATATATAATTGTGGATTTTTAGAGATCCAACTCGATAATCAAATCTATTATGATTGTTATGAAGAAGAAGAAAAAAATATTTCGTCAACTCTTACGAATGAAACGGTGAAAATAAATATTGTTAGGTCGGCTGTTAAGAAAGTTGGTTCGCTGTTTCGTGCTAGACAATCTTACATATCTATAAGTCTACGATTCGTCTATGCTTAGAATATTGCTGCCACATATGGTCCGGTGCCCCTGCTATTTACAAAATGATAAAATTCAAAGAAAAATCAGCAATATTATTAGTCTTGATCTGGTCGCTCGGTTTCAATCACTTTCCCACTGACGTAAGGTTGCCTCTCTTTGCCTTTTCTAGAAATATTTTCATGTTAATTGTTCGGATGAGCTCTTCGCTGTGGTGCCTAGACTTTTTTTTAAAAATTTAAGCGCAGTACGAGAGTGGCGACGAGATCTCATCAATTTACAGTTGAGCTGGCGAGATGTAGCCGTAATTTGACTGTGGGATTCCTTTCCGGTTCCAGGCTTTCCAGCCGACTTTAATCTGCAAAAGTTTAATTAAAACATCAGTCGCTATCTACTGTCATCCTGATTACTCTTTTCTCTTCCCGCTTATTATTAATGTTTCTAATTCTTCCAAATCCCTGTGATCTCTTTATGGTTTAGTGGCTTTACTGCCTTGCATGGAGTAATACAGATTTAAGAAAATAAATAAATAAAACTAGGACATTGCCTAGGAACTGAATAAGAGGGATTAGTGTGCCTAACTCATAATAGTTGTCGCACTGGAATATTCCACAGAAAAAGTCCAAAACCGAAGTTAGAGGAAATGTTTAGATTTTCCAGGCCACGGATTTATGTGTTCGGAAAGGGATCCGCGGATGGAAATTTAAAGAGAATTCGTGTAACTCGATATTCAAACACAACACCCTACACCACGTTTAAACATTCAATACTATGATCGAGAATTAAGTTCAACCGTTTGAATTCTACGACGATATCTTTCTATATATCATCGGCTCCTTCGTATTTTAGTCGCATCCAGTCAAATCCCAGAAATAAGAACAATATAATCCTGTGTAGAAACCAAAGAGTACTTTTTGTGATGTCAACGAACACTGGTTGCCACTTTTGTGATGTCAACGAATACTCGTTGTCACTTTCGTAATGCTCATTGTAGTAGAGACTTTGTAATCGCAGATACAACTATATTAACGCCGTTAAACAATACTGGTGTCAGACGCCTTCGAATAACACTCACACGACAAGTAACCACTGAATAGTGATCCAAACAGAGAAATGGTATAAAGAGTAGAGAATAGCGGTTCATATAGTGATTAAGGATGGAGTAGAATAGCGATCACTTCGACATCACGCAACTTCCGACTTATACGTTTTTTCCATGATCACGCGGTCTGCTTAATTTAATAACGGGATCACCTGTGTTTGCTCACTGGTGATCTACGTTCAAGCTCAAGTGTTGGCAGCACACTTTATTTCTATGTAACAGTCCTGTTCCAAATTACAGAATCTGTGTACCCGAATTCTTGAAGAAAATCACATACGAATAACTTGTGACATGTTTTTTAGAACACACACACACACGCGCGCGCAAAACCCCGATGTCTATTTGCATCACCCAGGTCTCTTCCAACTTTCCCTTGTAGTAAATCATAACAGTTAAATGATGTACTGTGGTCTTTGGTAATTTTTATTATTTCTTTCAAATGCGTCTACAAAGTAGTTAGTTTTCGTTAGCGTGCGAATAACGTGACCTTGAGAAAACACAGGGGTGTTGTTTCTGGTCAGTTACGCATATCTGTGTCAAGTACTTCGAGCATCCTGAGGAAAAATGCGTTGTATCTTTATTAAAGTTGAACGATACAAACAAAACAAATTTCTTCTACGGGCAGATGTGTACCACTTATATATGTAATGGATCGCTTGTCTGTGTTACGTGATGGATGGGGATGCAAGGAAGCATGTTTTTGAGTGAAGGGGCGGTCAGGCTGAAAAACAGATGAAGACAGAGCGATCACTAGAGAGTTAGGGTTAGTCTACAGGGTGGGGGGAAAGCTACTGATGCTTAAAAAGCAGATTTTTTAATAGTGTTTCTACGAAACTTTCCTTATTTAAAAAGAAATTACGAAAAACAGCGCATATCCAAATTCAACTGAAAATATTGGTTCTTGTTTAATTACCAAGGTTAAGCAATGTCATGCCTGGTTAGTATTTAGATGAGTGATCAATAAGAATCACAAGTTACTGCAAGCAGTCAACAGTCTTGTAATAAATGAAGCAAGAAGCTTAATAGATATCGTCTTAGTTCGAGCTTTGCTAAAAGGCAGACATTTTTTTTTATTTAAAATAAATTTTCGACACCAGGTGTTCTCAAAATTTAACTTGAAAGCTTTTGTGAATACGCATTAAACAAAAAGAAAGGGGGGGGAGGGATTAGTTGATTTTTTTTTACAGCTTATCAACCTTTGTTAGTTATTTAAAACCGAATCATATTTTGAATTGTAAGAATAATTCTTTTTGTGTGTATATTACCAAATTTCACAGGAGTATTTTTCCAAGAATAATTCTTTTTGGAAGTGAATATTACCTTAAAACGTTTTTGAGAATAACAATGATTTTTCAAATACAAGTTCTACTATTTAACCCATAGCTGACGGGAGGAGATGGATTCATACCTTTCCCAAGAGTATTCTTGCAAGAATAATTCTTTTTGCGAGTGAATATTACCTAAATACTTTTTGAAAATAACAATGATATTCCAGATGCCAGTTCTACTATCTAACCCATTGAGGAGATGTATTCGTACCTTTTTCAAGAGTATTTGCGCGTTAATGAATGTAATGAACCCAACTGGAATTCGAACTCTGTTATCTGATTCACTGGATAATGGGAAGAAAATAAAGTCTAAAAAATTAACGTAAATAGGTAAATGCCATTGTCTAGTTTCGATTGTATTGTCGAATGATGACGATTCTCTTGGCTTAGGTGATGTCACCTTTCTGCCAATTCTATTTAGCTCAGGGCCAAGAATGCTTGATTTTAGAAGTACGACTTGAGTAGGGATTAAAGTCTCCCATTCAGGCAGAAGGTGGCACATAGCCTTTTTTTTAGTGTGGAATCCTCACGCATGAGTAGAAAAGGGGACAGAAAGTCTCATGTGCTTTCAACATTTTCATTGTCACGCCATAGGCACTTTTATTAGTACACTGGGGAAGTACAACATGAGAAAATGGATTTCCTGGAACTAGACATTATACTTTGGAATGAAAGCGACAGGAAAATCATGTGATGTATTCAGAGTTACAGTTCAAGCAAATCCAAACTGTTTATTAAGATATCAATCGGATACAAATGTGCTCATAATTACATG